ATTGTTTTATTGTTTTTATCGCACGTTGTGCCTTGTGGTTGTAAGCCGCCCTGAGCCCGTACGCGGGGAGGGCGGGGTATAAGTGGAATTAAATAAATAAATAAATAAATAAATAAGGTACACAGCGCAAGAAATGAGGTAAGAAAACTGAACTACATCAAAGACCTGTATAGAAACTGAAAAGGCATAATTTCCACCAGTTCTCAGAATTTCATGATGATTGAACAGGCTGTGCCCTGTGGCAGATTATACCCTGTGGGGAGAAAATGGTACCCTGACACAGGAAGAATCTTGCTGGATTTGACTACAGTGGATCCATCTCTTCCAGCATCTTGTTTGTAATAGTAGCCAGCCACAGAAGCATCCAAGAACCTCGAAAATAGGGCACGAAGGCAACAGCTCTCTCTTGTTGCTTATCCCCAGCAAGCGGGATTCTGAGGTATAAAGTGATACCACCTTTCAGCCTTGTGAGTAAGAGCTGCCACTTTCTGCCCAACCCCCTCGAAACAGGGGCTGCCATTTGAAAATATGGATGTACCTGTGCCCATTGACAAAGGCCTCCCCACCAGTTGTGCTCTCGTCCCCTGTCAGCATCTTGAAGGTGGTTGTCTTCCCAGCCCCGTTGACACCCAGCAGGCCAAAGCACTCCCCTGGTCTTACGCCCACGCACAGGCGGTCCACAGCGAGTATACGCCCAATTTTGCGGGACTTGTACACCTGGCACACAAAGAGGAAATGACATACAAGTAGAGCCAAGTGAACATTTTCCTACATACACGTCAGGCTAGTGGAAAATTTGCAAAGGAACTCCTGTTGTTCCTAGCTAGTGACTTATTGGCTTTCTCCCCTGCCCAGAACCTCTCTTGCCCTTAAATCCCACACTCGTAGCTCTGTCCCCTGCCAAATACAGGTGCCTTTACCTTAGTAAGGTTCTCAATTTTGAGCATGTCATTGTCAGCATCTCCACGCAACACACGATGCCGCTCCTTCGCAACATCCACGTCATCCTCAATGGGCTTGGTGGACACAGGAAGACGCCTGGTATAGGGGGAGAAACAAGGAATGGAGAGAGGCTCTGAGGTGAAAGCTGCCATAGTGGCTTGCTCTTTTCCCAGTTCAGAAGAGAGCTGGCCACTCCCCAAGGGTGCACAGGGTGATTACATAGCACCGATAATACCAACAGTAAACCTGGCCCCTCCACCCGAATTAAAATCCCAAGACTGCCTTTGAAATGCAACGTGTTCAAGTTGTTCTTTTGCCTCCCGGTTCATTATTATTAGGGGTGTGCATTCGGATCCACCCAATCAAAAAATATACCCCAAAAATACCTTATCAGTATTTTCCGAGAATGTTTCAGCATCCCAAATGTATCCAGGATTTTCCAGGAACAGCCCCCTCCCAAAAAATTCCCAGAAATATCCCAGATATATTCAGGAATTACCAGCAATCTCAATAAACAGGTGAGGGGCTGGGCTGGGCCCACACCGAAAAATAATAGACCTGAACCGAAAAATACCAAGGGGGAAACAATTGCACACCACTAATCATTATAGCTGAAATATGTGGTTTGTTTGTTCAGTCATGGTTACCAAAGTAATACTTTCTTTCAAAATTAGTTTTCTAACTTAGATACCAATGGTCAGCCACAAGCCTTGAGACAGGCAGAGGAGAGTGAGGGGTGTGCGTGTGCATGAATGAGAGAAAGAGAGAGGCAGACAGACAGACTATTCGAAGATCATAGGTGGAGAAAAAACTCCCTAACTTAAACAGATCACAATTTAGTCATCATCACAGGAAATCCTCCAAAGATGCAACTAAACCTTGATTTGCTTATGATCCTTACATCAATATAGAACCACCAGAATCTGAGTTGGACCACTCGTCACCTAGCTTAATATCATCTCTTCTGACTGGTGGCAGTTCTCCAAGGTTCCAAGCAGAAAAAGGTCTTCTCTGCAATCTGCTACCCACAGAAGCTGGGGATTGAACCTGTGGTCTTCCCAGGCTGGTGCATAACTACCCAGCCTTGCACTTGCTTCACCCAGAGTTTCTTGAAAGGAAACAGTCTCAGAATTTTATACCTGTTATAGTTTTTGAAGCTTCAGTTTGATTATCCTCGTGTCGCTGCTAATCAGGTTTGCCAGCTTTGTCTTGTTTTACTTGCAAATTGTCCTAAATAGTTTTCACTGTAAATGGCCTGAGGAACCAAATTCCTTACAGGCAGCCTCATCATTGTTACAGCAAAGCAGCAACCAAACAAAAATATTATGGTAGCACCTTAAAAAAATAACAGATCTATTGCAGCAGAAGTTTTCGTAGAGCCATTTAAGCTGCCTGACCCAACTAGGGGTTCAAATTGTATAAAACCACCCAGCAAACCTGCCACCACCAAAGTTGTTCAGTATCCTACTGGAGACAAAAGAGCTCCAATATGATCTATGTTTTACTATCCAAGTGTGACCAGAGAAGTACATGGGTGAATATGGTGTTAAATATTCCATTTACAGAATTATAACTAAGGAGTAATTTACTGTAAATGAAATGCACGTAGCAGTAAAAGCTGAAAAAATAAGGACTTCTAGAACTTGGGAATCCTTTACGATTGAAGCCAACCTATATTCAGCAATTTAATCTAGTTCCAAACAACCACTCTATGGGGACCACCATTTCTCTCCTATTGGTTCCAAGGGGGCCCAGCCAACCCAAGGGCAGTGGATCTAGCCGAAAGTCTTTTGCCCATTCCAGAACACCCCACCTCTTTCTAGCTCCAAAATAAAGAATGTAAGGTTGGGCTGTTAAATGGTCAAAAAACAATTTGCTCAGCTGATAAGGTCAAATATTTTTAAAGCATTACGTTTATTAAAGTTAACAGAAGAGACAGTTTAATTTGTAACATGTCTGATACTTATCCAAATGTTCAGAACAATTTAGCTCACCGTTGAACACTTTTTTAGAAGTGCTGAATTATTGTAACTGTTAGCACCACCCTCCCTAGGCAATGAACTTTGCCACTACTACCTGCTTGTATTTCTGTTTTGGCTGCAACTGTGCTTAGTTACGGTTGGTGACCTTCAGAAGAAGATCTGCTATGCTCCTGGATCTGCCCTCCCCCAGGAGGCAAGGCTCAGGGGCAAGAAGTCCTTCTTCCTACCCTTGCTTATTCAAATGATGCTAAAATGAAATAAAAAGGGAAGCTGCCTCCTACACTGTGCACGTTTGGTTTCAGTGGCAGTCAATCAACAGGCATACCGACTCTAGATGCACCCATCTTGTGTAACCCCTCTTAGTTAAGTCCACTGAAGACAAAGGCTGTAGCCTGAAGGCCAAGGACACAAGAGTCACACACTACCCCAAGTCTTAGAGTAGGGGTTTCATACCCCACTGGGTACTTACTGTGGTTTCCGGAAGAAATTATACTGGCACATGATAGTGATGAAAAAGCCCACAAAGCCTTCGATCGTCATGGCAACCAAACCTCGTGTGACAATATCCCATTCAAAGGGTGACTTCATTTTGTCAAACTGTCCTGGGGAGAGGAAGGGGTAGGTCACAAAGACAGACTGAGCCTACAGCTGAAAAGCACTGATTCCGGCTACAGAGGCAGCAGCTCAGCTCTCCATTGTGCCAAGATCCCAATCCAGCTAAGCAACCAACGGCTATAAGCAAAGCCAGACAGAGGAAAGGCTAGAGTCAAGGATCCTTTCGTGCTGCCCTGCCCAAGACCACAATGAGTGCCTCCCTGAGCATCTATCACCTTGTTAGTTTTGTACATGTATTTTTGTATATTTATTACCATGTGTGTTATCTGTATTACAGTAGAGCACTTTGGAAGCTAATTTTTGGCTAAGAAGTAGGCTAAAATATACAACAGATTAAGACAGAAAAGTGCAAGGAACCTGTGGATTATCTCTGAAGTGAAACTCGCATGGATTCTGCTCTAGAGAAAAAGAGCCACATCTGACTGTTCTGCATGCATTTCAATTAGTAAGAGATGGTGCTTTATTCTGAAAGCTGGTGGATGCCAAGACTGAAATATGAGCTAAGCCTTCCCCCTCACCCAGTGATTACTCAACAGAAAGGCACTATACTTTGCATATGCTTGAAAGTTATTTTTTCCCCAGTTGTTGTTTTACACGCTCCAGAACTAATTCATGGTAATGGAGACAGGTTCAGGGGCTGAAAACCTGGTTTCAAAACAAGCCCATCAAGAGGCAGCTGCATAAGGTGCTTAAACAGGTCAGCAAACTTACCAATCTTGGCATAGTACTCATTGATGTACTCATTGTAGGCCATCTCCATCAGCCCGTGACCCAGGTTATAATTGGGAAAGATCAGGAAACAGCTCTTTAGGTAACTATTCACCACCTTTAGGTCCTATTGAGAAAAACACATCCATCTGCTGGAGCAGGCCAAAGGTCCATCTAATCCTGCATCCTGTTTCCAACACCTTTCAACCAGACATCCCTTAGCAGTCATACATGAGGTACACAGAGGCCAAAGCTTACCCCTGTTATTGCCCACCAGCACAGAGTATTCAGGAGGTACACTTCCTCTATATAGTCTCTATATAGCCACTATTGCTAACAGGAATTGCTTGATTTGCTTATGAATTTCTCTATTCCCTTTTAATGGGATCTTAGAGAATGGCTGTTCCTATTTCCTGTGACTATGAGTTCCACCTGTTAATTATGAAGAATACCTTCCTTCTTCTGTCCTGAATTTACTGCCCATCGAATTCAGTGGGTACCCCTTAGTTCTTTCTAAGAAGCCTTTGGAGTCTCTTGATGGCTCCTGGAGTCTGCTGAGGCAGAGGTCTCTTGTGGATGGTTATTTATAAGGTTTCTGGTGGCTAATACTCTGATATCTTAAACTTTCTGTGATTTATTTGGTTATCCACCTTAGGTCCCAACTGCTGAGGGAAAAGGTGGGCTTAAGTAAATAAAAAAAATAGTAGTTGGGAGATGGAGGAAAAAGGTTCTCTCAATTCACTTTCTCCACCCTACACCATTATAAGCACTTATCACGGCCCCCTACTTAGTTGTTTTCTCCTAAACTGAAAAAACCCATATTCTTTAGCATGACCTTGAAAGGAGGCTCTACCTCTGTTTGCTGTCTTCTGCACTTTTTCCAGCCCTTACGATACTTATTTGGAGATGTGGGTGACCAAAGATGGGCAATTAGACAAAAGGACTGCCAACCAAGTACATCCGCTAAAAGAGGGAATGACTCGTCTACGGGACACACTCTGTGATTTCCATAGACAGCCAAGGATGGGAATGCAGGCCCTCCCTGGTCCTTGTAACCATTACTCCACTTAGAATAAAGGTTAATAAACCAAGGTTACCCCCCTGCCCCCTAGCAGAATCTCACTCACCTTGTCGTGCTCAAAGAGCTGCAGCAGGAAGGTGGCCACAGTGGCTGTGATGCCAATGAACAAGTTGATGACAATCAGGAAGACATAAGCTGAGCTAGGCACCTCAAACCAGAAGGAAGCCGGGTACATGATGGGCGTGATGGACCAGCTGTGGGAGAGGGAGGCAAAGATTGACATTCAGAGGCAAATCTATTGGGCTCTGGCCCACAAAGCACCAGCAGTTTCCTTCGCTCTACACTCTGCCTACGGTTGCTCTAAATTTCCAGAACCACAAATATTTTTACCCAAACTTTGCTAATGGCAACAGCACCAACATACCCATACAGCAGGAAGAGAGAAAGCACAGCTGGAAAGTTGGTTGGAGAGGTGTATGCCGGCAGGTCAAACACAAAGAGGATGATGATGCAACAAGTAGCTGGAACCAGGTAGTTCAACTACAAAGGAAAGGAGGGGTGAAAAGTACATTATACCACCTAAAATTATGCCGAAGAAGACCCTCCCGCTAGTTCAGGTTGCAGCCCTAACATAGCAGTTGTGCAGGACATCTGGCCTCATCCATCTCTGCCACTGCCTTTCCAGATCAACCAACCCCCCCCCCCCCAAACAAGCATCCTTGGCATCATACCATGTCCCAGACGTAATTGGCCAGCCAGTAGATAACTGGGTCGCAGCCGCTCACAAACTGGAGGTGCTTGGCTTTGGTGGACTTTTCTGCCACCAGGAAGACCACAAAGCTAGCCGGCACAAAGGACATGGCCACGATGATGAAGATGGCGATGACCACATCAGTACCCTGGAGGCTGCAATTGGATGGAGCAAGGTTTGGGAACAGTCATTCAGACATTATCACCTCATCAATTGCAAGCTATGGGGGGAAACGTCCACACACACTCACTCTTCTAAACCAGGGATTCCTCCTTTAATCAGCTTAACTAGCAGAGCAATCAACAGCAGCTTCAGCTAAGCTGATGGGAGTCAGTTTTAATCAACAAGGATGAGTACTAAGAATATCCTCAATTATTTGTTCAGGCCATTTGGGTTCTGGTGTGTTTCTGTACTGGTTTATTGGACAGCCAAAGTGGTAACAGCAGAAATCTGGTTAAAAATTACTAGTCTTCCATTTAGCTCACACTCTCAGCCACACAGTGTTGTTGGGAGGGAAAAATTGGATAAGGCCACCCTGAGCTCCTTTCAGGAAGGATGGGACAGAAATAAAAATAACTGATATGAATAGAAGATTCAGAAGAAAAAACCAAATGCAACTGGGGAGGGAGGGGATTTAGGTTACTCCTCTGGATCACCTTTCTTTAGAAGGTCACGACAGCTCTTTCTAAGTAGACTTTTGGGCTGTATGTGCATTTATTTACTTAAAGCCATGGTTTAAATGTTTGACCTTGCATTTCTATTGTATTAAGTTGCTCTGAAATTCTTGTTTTTACATAGAGCATTTTTAAAATATCAAGTTTACAACAGGATTATTAGAATATGAAGTGAAAAATAGGTCAAATACAAGAATGATAAAATATTGAAACAGATACCTACAGGTAATCCAAAGAGAGACTGGCACTGGTCTTATTCATCGGGTGGTTGGTCAGGGTGATACCTGGAGCACATAAGGGGAAGAGCAGATGTTGAATGGTCCCCACGTAGGCATAGAAAACCAAGCAGGATCAAGTTTCTTATAGATGGATTCCTTTGAAATGGCACTACTGTTCCCCAAATGCTAAAATCAATTCAGCACACTCCAAGGCTCAGATCGATTCTCAATCAACTCAGTTTCCATGTGACCCAAGAGCGCCTTCAAGTGACAGACCTGAAGGAGAGAGCGGCACCACGGCCTCCTGAGCTACAGATCTGGCAAGTTGGCAACAATGTGGATTTTTACCATTGCAAATTAGAAACACATTTGGAGACCCACAAAGAAATCTAACTCTGTGTCACTTCTGATTTCTGTTCTGCATGAGTCACTCACCATAGGCAGCTGGGTTCCCCCTGCTTTTGGGTAGGTTGGCACGAAGGATGGCATTGTTGAGGGTGTTCAGGAAGGTAGGCATACTGTGGTATCCCTTGTTGTTGTAGTAAACCTGGGGGGGCAAAAAGAGGGAGAAAGAGGTAGGCCAGAACATATCTGCTATCTTATCTGTGGGTCTGCCACAACACTCAGAGTGTGGGACAGGAGGTACAGAGTGATACCATTCAACACACAATTACACTGCTATCAAAACTGTCATGCACTCTGTGCTCAAGAGTTTTAATCAGTGAGAAATGCAGTGATGAGATTGCTCAGTGGTATTCTTCTAAAGAATCCAGTGGTTTTGAAACAGTTACCTGGGTTGCGAATTCGCTTCTGGGCTGCGGCTGAAGCATGGGTTGTTAACTTCAGGAGTACCAAACTGCCTGATATGAGGGTACCTAAAGGGCCGCCTAGTCCCACGAGAATCTGCCCAGCAGTTGAGAACACCCACAGGGATCCTCCTTTGTAAGGACAGCAAGCCTCTCAGGGATGTAGCCTTCTAAGGGTTGGTACCTCCACCCTAGAGCTCCACACAGTTATTCATCTGCCACCAACACTGTCCAGCCAGGTAAAGACATTTCAGCCAAAGCATTTGTGAAATTTTGGTCCTTAGCTGCTTTACCTATTTTTTCTCAATTGAATGATACAATTACGTTTTCGTTTCTGCTGGCTTTAATGTTGGCTGTATTCTTGGACAAACCTTTTATGGGCTTCGGTCTCAAATGGATAGATCATTGGATGGTGTACATGTATTGATACACTGCTTGTATTTCAACTTTATATTGTAAGCTGCCTCTGAATCCCTTGGCTGAGAGTTGCAGTTCATATTCATAAACCATTTAGTTAAATAGACAAAACCCAAGTGGATCTCCTACCTGGGCCGTTCGCCGGACTGCAATCTTCCGTACCATGGGAGGAGCTTTGGCCCCAAAGGATGCTGGAATGGACTTCTGGATATTGCCAAACGTCATTGCACCATACCTGTAAGCAAAAGAGAAGTGGCTCAAAGTTTCTAAAAGTGATAAAAAATGATAAAGCACAAGATCCTTGGCCAGAAGCAGAGGGATCTCCCTAAGATCTCCTTAGCGGGGAGCAAAACAGGGCAGGCACAATCCCCATGCGTGCACACACACCTGTGCAACCGGAAGCGGTCTGATGTATAGAGCAAGTACTCGGAGACGTTGCGCCCTGTGATGTCCACCAAGATGTCTCCCGTCACCACTTTCATCTGTGGTGGGTGGCCCCCAACTCCACTTGGGCAAGAGAAGCCGGTGCCCTGCATGGAGCAAGTACACTTCATGGGTTCATGGATAATGTGGGGCAGGGATGGAGCAGAGGTGACCGTTTCTGTGTAGAGGAAAAACACACAAGCAGCTCTCAGTCCAAGGTATTTTTGCAGTGCGTCACAATTGTAGCTGGATAATAACAACACTCACATTTCTCTTGGTTTCTGACCTGCAGGCCTTCAGGCAGGATGAATAAAAACAGTACAAAAAGAGCTGCATGACCATAATAGCTAGCAATCCAGCCTCCAAAAACTGGATCCAGGCACGCATAACCTCTGACTCAGCTGGTGGCATGCCTTACCTTTGACGGTGGAGGGGTAGGTGGTAGAATTCCAGGCCCGCAGCAAGTCCTCGTCCAGGGAGAAAGGGTAGTCAGAGGGTGCTGGGGATGGGGGTGGTGGCACGAAGTTGGAGAGGGGCAAGCCCTGGGTGAAGGAGTCCACACACATTGCGTCAAAATACTTGGCCGCCAACATCTTTGATTCATTGCTGTTCAGGTTCAAAGTCTGGACCAGCTGGTCTAAGGTGCTGTTGAAAGCCGTCTTGAGCACGCAGGTGGCACCCACCCCTGAGGGCAGGTGAAAAGTCCCAACCATCTGTTGGGGGCTGGCATCAGGTGACAGTTTTAGCCTGAAAGGAGGGGAGGATGGATTAGGAGAGACAAGAGTTCAGAATCCTCAGAATTCGGATGTTTCAAAGGATTCAAGAGCAGGTGTAATATAGCCATTAAGAGACTGAGCTACAAATCATGATTTCCTGGTCTGAATTTCACTTCTGCCAGAAGCTAAGTGACAATCCACTCTTTTGCTCAGTCTCTTCCCCATCTGCAACTTTAGAATAAATAATAATAATAATAATAATAATAGCCTACTTTATAAGACTGTTGGAAAGATAACAAGTATACCAACTGCTTTTTTTCGAAATAATAATTATTTTGCATTTTTGAGTATTCAGTTCCACTCAACTGAAAGAGAACGTAAGGAATTTCATACCAAACAAAGCCAAACGGTTCACCTAGCCTCATCTGCCTCCCTTTTCAGCAGTGGCTGTGAGACCCAAGTTCACAAGCTGGGAAGCTGCCCCCCATAATTTGGTACTCAACGGTACATTGCTACTGAATATGGAGGTTTCTTCACTATTAGGGCAAACAGCCCTTGGTGGAACCTTCTGTGCACAAGCTGCACAAACATCCTCTGTGGCAATGAATTCCTTACTTTGTCAGATTGATGAATTAATCAGCTAACATACATGAGCTCGCAGGTCCTGCAATAGCAGCAGCCTCGTGGAGCTTCTGCAACCAGTCAAACAATGTATCTTGCCTGGATATCTTACAGCAACCAACACCAGACCCTCAGGGAACCTCTCTCCCTCTGTTTTTGGTACTTAAAAAAAATTCATATGTGCATGTGTGTGTGTGTACCTGGAAGTCATGGCGACCTCTGGTGACTGACCCCTACTGGGGGCCTGGAGGACATTCAGAGAGGTGGCTGAATAAAGCCTGCCCCCGTCCTCTCGACTGCTGGTATTCCAAGGCGGTCTCCCATCCAAGTACTTGCCAAGATCTGACGAGATCGGGCTTGCCTGGGCTATCCCAGTCAGGGCCCTCAGGGAAACCCCTCAGTTACAGGGATTGTGGCTGCCATACCTTTCACCCTACAGGGTTATCCCTACCCAAGGCAAAGCACATACTTCCCAGTGCAATCCAGACCTGTGACTGCAAAAGCCCTCCAGATGGAGACCAGGAGCAGAGGCTTAAAGGGGATAGCAAGCAGGACTGCTCAGCCCACAACTCTGAGGAGGTTCCCTCACTGACTGAAAGGCCTAAAGGGCAAAATTTCACCATGCATGCCCCCTCCTAAGAAGAGACACCGGCTCAGTGTCAAGCTCTTGCTCAGGCTGCTTTGTAGGTGCTTTGTAGTTACTTTTGATTTCAGCTTGTCTGGATTTTATCAATGTACCTTCAGCTTCGCTTGTCATGTAGCATTGGGGGGGAGTGGATGTGGTTGGAATGATTGGGAGCAGCTGCTTGTAACTCCTCAACGTGAGCCCCGAGATAATTTCCCATGAGACTGTCCTTGGAGATCTGTTGTGCCAAGCTAGCTTAGATAGGTCAACCATATACCTATCAGGGTTGCCATAGAAATACCCTTATTTAGGTGTGACGTGTGAATGTATGGAATTTGGGGTTTCGCCTATATCTTGTAATTTCCCATCTTTGACTTTAGTCCTAACAAAAGTTCTGGAGTCTACAGCAGCTTCAAATCTCTAAGAAAGCATTACACTGCCAAAAGTCTGTGGAGAGTGAAATATCTGGGAACCTGACACTCAGTGGCAAAGCACCTGTTCTGCATGCAAAATGCCTGAGGTCCAGTCCTCAGCATTTCTGGCAGCAGGTACTAGGAAACCCCTATTTCTGCCTGAGCCTTTGAAGAGCTTCTGGCAGGCAGAATAAACAGTACTGGGTAAGACACATCAGTATTCTGACTCTGTATAAGGCAGTTTCGTATGTTCACTGTCCCTATTTTATCGGCTTTTAAAAAAGGATTAGATCAATTCACAGAGTAGGTGGCCTATCAATGGCTATTAACCACAGTGGCTAAAAGGAACTTCTGTGTTCAGAGGCAGTCTACCTCTGAACACCAATTTCGGGGGGGAGGGGTCTTTAGGCGCTATGCCCGTTTGTTGACATTCGGAAGCATCCAGCAGTCCTCTGGTAGAAACAGAATGATGGACTAGATGAACTGATCCAGTCAGGCTCTCCTACTGTCATCTGATCACAGAGGAGTTGCAAATGGCAGCTTCCCCTCTTCTGCAGCTCCTCCAACAGCCTTCTCAGTGTGCAGGGAAAAGAAATCCCAAGGTTCTCACCGATATTCATGCCGCTCTTCATTGGCATACGGGATGAAGTTGCCTTTGGGCTGGGTATAGTTGTGATACTGGGATGGTGAGAGAACAAGGGGAGGCAGGTCTCCTGTGGAAATGGAAGAAACATCTGTCAACAGCTGTCCCGGAGTTCTGGGTCATGCTTAAGGGGTGCTAGGATGCCCAAGTGCTAACATGGCAAGGAGAGGGCCAAATCCACCCAGAGTGGAGACAGGCAAAGGAGGGGCTCCGAGTCAGCCTACTTTCCCTTTATTGCTCTGTGCATTCCCCTCGGCCACCAAAGTGCACCCTGGCTTTTATCAACTTCCAGCCTCGCCACTTTGCTCAGCTAAGAGGATGACGGTTGCTAGGCAACTTGAATTAGGCCTGGAGGCTGTCACCATGAAAGAAACTTCATGCGATTTTTTTTTTTTTTTGCAGGCAAGCAGCTATATGAATTTGCCTTCTCGTGGCAAGGTCACAATTCGCCTCATACAGGAAACATTTATTTGCAAAGGACTCCTTCTTCCCACCCCTCACTCCCCACCCCCACCCCCAGCTTATGAGGCTGAAGTGGTGCAAGTGGTGGCAGCTACAAGCATGGACGGCTTCAAAAGGGAATTAGATAAGCATATGGAGCAGAGGTCCATCAGTGGATATTAGCCACAAGGTATAGATAGGGACTCTGGGGCAAGTGATGCTCTGTCTTCTTGGTGCTTCGGGGGGTGGGGGCAACAGTGGGAGGGCTTCTAATGTCCTGGCCCCACTGCTGGACCTCCTGATGGCACCTGGTATTTCTGGCCACTGTGTGATACAGAGTGTTGGACTGGATGGGCCTTTGGCCTGATCCAACATTGGTGTCTCTTATGTTCTTATGAAGGGCAAACAAGAATTTTGTCATGTCTACCGTTAACATTAGGAATCCTCAAACAGAACCTGATTTACCTTTTCTGTGCAACCCTCTTGGAAAAGGTTATTCTGGGATAGGCTGGCTTCAGAAGACAGGATACATTCCACAAGTGGAAAACCAGGGGAGAGAAGCTCCCACGCCAAATGCTTACATGCATGAGGCAAAAAGCAAGCCTGGCTTCTTGAATAACCACTTCAGTAGCACACATATTAGAAATGGTGCTGCTGGGTCAGGGGAAGGAGTTAAACTTATCTACATGCCAGTTTTCTCTATAACACCTTCCGCGTGTGTCAGCTCGGCTGGTCATTGTCTCTATGGCATCCTAGCCTGGCATTTATTCTTTCTGCATCTCAGGGTGGCAGCAGTAAAGACCATTCCAGGACAATTGACATACGTACCTATCTCAGGCACGGAAAGGGCCACTGTCATAGCCACGCAGACAAAGAAAGCTGGCAGCAGGATCTGGGAGAAGAGGGCTTTGGTGTTGCGCTTGGCACAGTGGAAGCGCTTGACAATCAGCCCGTGGAACTGGCGCAACTTCAGCCAAGAGCCCTCTAGCTTGAAGCTCCCCTGTCCAGACAGCTCAAGCTCCTCTGAGTCGGCCTCTTGGTCTGCAGTGGGGAAAGGCGAAAAAGGAGGCACAGGCGAGACTGAGGCTCTCTCTCTCAAGAAGATATAAAAAGAAATCTATCACAGAAATTATGCTGCTTACCCACATACTGAAAATGTCACCTGGGGACAGAGAAGGGGCCCTCAGTCTCAGGAAGAAAGGTCCCCAAGAAGGGACAGGCTACAAGGTCAGTAGGAGTGGCACCCAAGACTGTGTTTACTCAGACCCCACACTTTCTTTGCCTGTTTGCTTCCTCCCTTCTCTTTCCCCTTCCCAGTCTCCTCTACTATTGAAATGTAGGGTCAAACGACACACATGGCTGGGGATTCTTCAACAGATCCCCAAATATGTATTTAAATGGCAAAAGCCAGCTGTAAGGGGAAAGGGCAGCATGGACAGAAGGGTAGGGCACTGGGAAGGCAGAGAGAATGGAAACTGCTCTCCCAAGCTGTGTTTGTTTCCCTCCAGGTGGTATGAAGGGGTTCTAATGATGGAAAATGCACAGGGGGTGGGCATAGCACCCCCCTCCACAGTTTCATGGCCCTAATCCACATCATTCTCCCCCTCACAGCTGTTTTTTGCAATCCAAATTACACATCTGGGGATCTGATCATGGATCTGCAATATTGTGAAGTTTGGTACTTAGAATGGAAGCTCCTTGGGGCAGATACCTGCCATTTTGTGGCTTATGCAATCCTCTAAATAACAGCACATAAATTCATCTCTGCGAGGAAGGCCTAGCAAACTTACTGGGTTACTAGGGCGTATTCCAACAGTAACATCATTTCATATAGTTGGGATAAAACACACACACACACACACCGTCAGATTTACAATCAAAGCAGATTTGCCTGGAGAATAAATATTTTCTAAAGTTTCAGTACATCAAAAGATAGGTTTTCAAGATATAATACATCCCCTCCCCCCCAGAACCAGAGAATTTGGTAGTGCGTTAGTATCTGCCCACCTCCCACCCCCAGTGATAACGCAAGGTCTCTCACATAATGTGTTACAAACCTTGCAAACTGACGTTATCAGGGTCTTGTGGGTTATCAAACAACGGAGAATAATCCCCATAGAACTCCGAATAAGCCCCACCTTCATCGCCTCGCACGGAGCCCGCTGAGGAAGCCGAGCACAGTGACGTCTGAGACTGGGCCAGCTGGGAGCAGGCCAACAGGCTGCTGCGGTCCGTCTCTGGCTTCTCGAGCATTTCTGCACCCGAATGAGGCTCTCCATTGGCCTCAGGCTTTGGGCCCAGCTGGGGGAGAGGCAGGAGAAGAGCATCTTTCTTGGACTCTTTCACATCTGCAAAGTACAGAAACTGTGAGGCCCACAAGAGGCACCTGTGGGATGGATGCCTGTTTTTAGTTAAGCAAGGGGGCAGTGGTGGGAAATCACACCCGGCCGACATGAAAAATTAAAAACTCGTAAGGCTATGATTGCACTTCAGCTTGTCTCTTCAATTTGTATGTGGCTTTAGCACACACCAGCATTCAGTTCAGTGAAATGCTCCTCCCATTGTTTAGCTTTTCATTTGCTGTCACCCGTGCCCCACGTCCCCTGGTCCTGAGAGAACCAAGTACCCTGGCAGCTAGTTGTCCAGTGTGGGAAAAGGTACCATTTCCATCTCAGGCCTTCAGATGCAGGGGCCTGGTCTTTCCTCGTTGCTTGTTCGACTGCCTGTTTGTTACCAGTAATGCTGCTTCCTAGCCCTACTGCTGCGGCTGGAAAAGATCACTGCCCCCTCCCACCACATCTAGCTTCTTTTTTAACGCTACAGCAGTGGCATCGCATGCACTTAAAAGCATGGCTACGGCTCAGTAAGAGGACACCTTGCTTTGCATGAATCCTGAGTTCAATCACCTGCATCTCTAGTTCCAGCTCCTGCCAACCTAGCAGTTCAAAAGCAAGAAATTGCAAGTAAATAGGTACCACTTCGGTGGGAAGGTAACAGCGTTTCGTGTGCCTTGGTGTTTAGTCATGCCGGACACATGACCATGGAAACGTCTTCGGACAGTGCTGGCTCTTCGGCTTTGAAACGGAGATGAGCACCATAACCCTAGAGTCGGACTCGACTGGCTTTCGAGCAGGGGAACCTTTACCTTTTAAGTACCAAGTACTAGGCAAAGACTTTTCTCTGTCTGAGACTCTGGAGAACCACTACCAAATAATGTCAGGCTAGATGACCCAACTGTCTGATCCAGTATAATGCAACTTCATACCCCCATCATGAGCAAGCTCTTGTGACTGTGAAACAGGAACTCTGGTCCTCCTTACCCACGTCACTGTTCTCCAGTGACTGATCTTCCTCTGAGACTTTAAGAAAGACTTCCTCCAGAGTGGTGTCCATCAGCCCAAAACTGGTCAGGTCCAGATCATCCAAGCTGTGCTCCAAGTGCTACGAACAGTAAGCCAGAGGAAGGAAAATAATCTTCAGAGCTTTTGGCTACGCCTAGTTTAGAATTTACATGCTCCTTTCTACTCCCATCATGATATTTTAGATCAACTGAGAAGCCCTCTTAGGCATACCATTCTTACACCAAGCATAAACACCCTCCCCCTTAAAAAACAAAACCATTTTCTTTCCCTTGGCTTCACCATTTCTGGAAATGTTACATCTACCCAAGCCTTTGAGCAGAATATATGCTGCTAATTCAGATTAGATATCAGCCCAAGAGACACTGGCCAATTCCTTTCCGTGCCCCTCCTCCCTCATGCTCCCTGATTGCCTACGCTCATCAAATGCTTGGTACCTGAAAAAGCCTCTCAAAACAGCCCTTCTTGACAGCATCACTGGGTAGAATGTAGGACAGTTCTGTGTTGGTGTCAGAGATGAGGAGGCACGAAGCCACATATTTCTTGATGAACTGCGTGACCCGTACCTCAGAGCAGGGGCTAATGGAAGAGTGGGATAGGGGGCTATGGGTCTGCCCAGAGTCTAAACAAA